GTATTCCTAGGTATTTTATTCTGTTTGTAACAACTGTGAATGGGAGTTCACTCATGATTTGGCTCTCTGTTTGTCTGTTATTGGCATATAGGAATGCTTGTGATTTTTGCACATTGATTTTGTATCCTGAGACTTTGCTGAAGTTGCTTATCAGCTTAAGGAGATTTTGGGCTGAGACAATGTGGTCTTCTAAATACACAGTCATGTCATCTACAAATAGAGACAACTTGACTTCCTCTTTTCCTAATTGAATACCCTTTATTTCTTTTTCTCGCCTGATTGTGCTAGCCAGAACTTCCAATACTATGTTGAGTGGGAGTGGTGAGAGAGGGCATCCTTGTATTGTGCCAGTTTTCAAAGGGAATGCTTGCAGCTTTTGGCCATTTAGTATGATATTGGCTGTGGGTTTGTCATAAATAGCTCATATTATTTTGAGGTACGTTTCAACAATACTTAGTTTATTGAGAGTTTTTAGCAGGGAAGGCTGTTGAATTTTGTCAAAGGCCTTCTCTGCATCTATTGAGATAATTGTGTGGTTTTTGTCTTTGGTTCTGTTTATGTGATGGATTATGTTTATTGATTTGTGTATGTTGAACCAGGCTTGCATCCCAGCGATGAAGCTGATTTGATTGTGGTGGATAAGCTTTTTGATGTGCTATTGGATTCAGTTTGCCAGTATTTTATTGAGGATTTTCACATCAATGCTCATCTTGGATATTGGATATTTCTTTTTTAGTTGTATCTTTGCCAGGTTTTGGTATCAGGATGATGCTGGCCTTGTAGAATGAGTTAAGGAGGATTCCCTATTTTTCTGTTGTTTGAATAGTTTTAGAAGGAATGGTACCAGCTCCTCTTTGTACCTCTGATAGAATTAGGCTGTGAAACCATCTGGTTTTGAACTTTTTTTGGCTGGTAGGCTGTTAATTGCTGCCTCAACTTCAGAATTTGTTACTAGTCTATTTAGGGATTCGACTTTTTTCTGGTTTGGTGTTGGGAGGGTTTAAGTGTCCAGGAATTTACTGATTTCTTCTAGATTTTCTGATTTATTTGCATAAAGGTGTTTATAGTATTCTCTGATGGTAGTTTGCATTTCTGTGGGATCGGTGGTGATATCCCCTTTATCATTTTTTATTACATCTATTTGATTCTTCTCTCTTTTCTTCTTTATTAGTCTGACAAGCAATCTATCTATTTTGTTGATCTTTTCAAAAAACCAGCTCTCAGATTCATTGACTTTTGAAGGTTTTTTTTGTGTCTCTATCTCCTTCAGTTCTGCTCTGATCTTAGTTATTTCTTGTCTTCTGCTAGCTTTTGAATTTGTTTGCTCTTGCCTCTCTAGTTCTTTTAATTGTGATGTTAGGGTGTCAGTTTTAGATCTTTCCTGCTTTCTCTTGTGGGCGTTTAGTGCCCTCTACACACTGGTTTAAATGTGTCCCAGAGATTCTGGTATGTTGTGTCTTCATTCTCATTGGTTTCAAAGAACATCTTTATTTCTGCTTTCATTTCATTTTTTATCCAGTAGTCATTCAGGAGCAGGTTGTTCAGTTTCCATGTAGTTGTGTGGTTTTGAGTGAGTTTCTTAATTCTGAATTCTAATTTGTTTGCACTGTGGTCTGAGAGACTGTTATGATTTCCATTCTTTTGCATTTGCTGAGGAGTGTTTTACTTCCAATTATGTGGTCAATTTTAGAATAAATGTGATGTGGTGCTGAGAAGAATGTATATTCTGTTGATTTGGGGTGGAAAGTTCTGTAGATGTCTATTAGGTCCACTTGGTCCAGAGCTGAGTTGAAGTCCTGGATAGTCTTGCTAACTTTCTGTCTCATTGATCTGTCTAATATTGACAGTGGGGTGTTAAAGTCTCCCACTATTATTGTGTAGGAGTCTAAGTCTCTTTGTAGGTCTCTAAGAATTTGCTTTATGAATCTGGGTGCTCCTGTATTGGGTCCATATATATTTAGGATATTTAGCTCTTCTTGTTGCATTGATCCCTTTACCATTATGTAATGCCCTTCCTTGTCTCTTTTGATCTTTGTTGGTTTAAAGTCTATTTTATCAGAGACTAGGATTACAACCCCTGCTTTTTTTTTCTTTCCATTTGCTTGGTAAATCTTTCTCCATCCCTTTGTTATGAGCCTGTGTGTGTCTTTGCACTTGAGATGTATTTCCTGAATATAGCACACTGATGGGTCTTGACTCTATCCAATTTGCTAGTCTTTGTCTTTTGACTGGGGCATTTATCCCATTTACATTTAAGGCTAATATTGTTATGTATGAATTTGATTCTGCCATTATGATTCTAGCTGGTTATTTTGCTCGTTAGTTGATGCATTTTCTTCTTTGGGTCGATGATCTTTACTATTTGGTATTTTTTCCCAGTTGCTGGTACTAGTTGCTCCTTTGCATGTTCAGTGCCTCCTTCAGGAGCTCTTGTAAGGCATGCCTGGTGGTGACATAACCTCTCAGCATTTGCTTGTCTGTAAAGGATTTTATTTCTCCTTTGCTTATGAAGCTTAGTTTGGCTGGATATGAAATTCTGGGTTGAAAATTCTTTTCTTTAAGAATGTTGAATATTGGCTTCACTCTCTTCTGTCTTGTAGGGTTTCTGCAGAGATCTGCTGTTAGTCTGATGAGCTTCCCTTTGTGGGTAACCCAACCTTTCTCTGTGGCTACCCTTAACATTTTTTCCATCGTTTCAACCTTGGTGAAAATAATGATTATGTGTCTTGGGGTTGCTCTTCTTGAGGAGTATCTTTGTGGTGTTCTCCGTATTTCCTGAATTTGGATGTTGGCCTGCCTTGCTCGGTTGGGGAAGTTCTCCTGTATAATATTCTGAAGAGTGTTTTCCAACTTGTTTCATTCACCCCATCATTTTCAGGCACACCAATCAAATGTAGATTTAGTCTTTTCACATAATCTCCTGTTTCTTGGAGGCTTTGTTCTTTTTACTCTTTTTTTCTCTAATCTTGCCTTTTCACTGTATTTCATTGAGTTGATCTTCAATCTCTGATATCTTTTCTTCTGCTTGATTGATTCAGCTATTGAAACTCGTGTATGCTTCATGAGGTTCTCGTGCTATGTTTTTCAGCTCCATCAGGTCGTTTATGTTCTTTTCTAAACTGGTTATTCTAGTTAGCAATTTGTCTAACCTTTTTTCAAAGTTCTTAGTTTCCTTGCATTGGGTTAGAACATGCTCCTTTAGCTGGAAGAAGTTTGTTATTACTCACCTTCTTAAGCCTGCTTCTGTGAATTTGTCAAACTCATTTTCCATCCAGTTTTGTTCCCTTGCTGGTGAGGAGTTGTGATTCCTTGGAGGAGAAGAGGGGTTCTTGTTTTTGGAATTTTCAGCCTTTTTGCGTTGGTTTCTCCCCATCTTTGTGGATTTATCTACCTTTGGTCTTTGAAATCGGTGACCTTTGGATGGGGTCTCTGAGTGGATGTCCTTTTCATTGATGTTTATGCTTAGTTTTTCTTCTAACAGTCAGATCCCTCTGCTTCATGTCTGCTGGATTTTGCTGGAGGTCCACTCCAGACCCTGTTTGCCTGGGTATCACTGGTAGAAACTGTAGAACATCGAAGATAGCTTATGAGGTGTCTGCCGGGCCCTACTGGGAGGTTCCTCCCAGTCAGGATACATGGGGGTCAGGGAGCCCCTTGAGGAAGCAGTCGGTACCTTATCAGAGCTCAGACGTTGTGCTGGGATATCTGCTGCTGTCTTCAGAGCTGCCACGCAGGGACATTTAATAAGTCTGTTGAAACTGTGTCCACAACTGCCCCTTCTCCCAGGTGCTCTGTCCCAGGCAGATGGGGCTTTATTTATAAGTCCCTGACAGGAGCTGCTGCCTTTTTTCAGAGATGCACTCAGTTGGAAATGGGAAATCACCTGCCTTCTGCATTGATCTCTCTGGGAGCTGCACACCAGAGCTGTTGCTATTTGGCCATCTGGGGAGATTCTTCTGGTTTCCATAGTCTTTGAGCACGTTTGTAATTATTTGAGTCATTGTTCTTTTATATGTAATATGTCTATTTTTTCTGGCTACTTAACAAAACTCTTAGGTTTTGGTTTCCAGAGTTTAATTATGATGTGTCTGGGAATAATGTTTTTTAGTTTATCCCATCTAGGGTGTGATGAACATTTTCAGTCTGTAAATCTAGATCTTTTACCAAATTTGGGAAGTTTTTTGTCAGTAGGTCTTCAAATGTTTTTTGTGTATCAATTATTTTCTCCTTTCCTTCTGCAACTCCAGTGACCCAAATGTTAAACCTTTTGATATTGTCCCACAGAGGCATAATTGACATTAATTGGCCGTTCATTTTTTTTTTCCAGTCTTATTTCTTTCTCTTTGTGCTTTACATTGGGTCATTTATGTTGATCCACTAGATTCAAGTTCACTGACTTTTTTTCCATTCTTCTATTGAGTCTATCCAATATTTCACATACTGTGTTTTTCTGTCTCTAAAATTTGGATCTGTATTTTTTTATACAGTTTTTAATTTTTGTGCTGAGAACTTCCATATTTTCTTTCACTTCAATTGTGTTTGCCTTTGCCTCATAGATATAGTATTAACCTCTGCTTTAAAGGTTTTGCCCCTTAATTCAACATCTGGGTCACTTTGGAGTTAGGATCTGTTTATTATCTTTACCCTTCAAAATTGGTCACATCTTCCTGGTTTCTTTTATGTCAACTAATTTTAAGTTGTATCCTAGACTTTTTTTTTTTTTCTTTTTTGCGATGGAGCCTCACACTCTGTCACCAGACTGGAGTGCAGTGGTGTGATCTTGGCTCACTGCAACCTCTGCTTCCTGAGTTCAAATGATTCATGTATCTCAGCCTCCCTAATAGTTGGGATTACAGGTGCCCACCACCATGCCAGCTAATTTTTTTTTTTTTTTTTTTTGGTGGATACAGGGTTTTGCCGTATTGGCCAGACCAGTCTTGAACTCCTGACCCCAAGTCATCCACCCGCCTTGGCATCCCAAAGTGCTGGGATTATAGGCATGAGCCACTGCACCTGGCTAACATTTTAAATATTATATTGTGAGACTCTGGTTTCTGTTAAAATCCTCTGAAGAATATTGTATCTTTTTTGTGTTTGTTCTAGCAGGTAGTCAACTTGGTTAAATTCCAACTGTAAGTCATCTTTCCTGTGCACAGTGGCTTTAATGTTAGTTTTCAAAGTTTTCATTATATTTCTATAGACCTGTCCCATGCATGCTCAGTACAGGGGTGATTCTGAGATATGTGCCAGTTTACACACAAAATTAAGGGGCTCTACTTTCTAGCACACCTCTGTTTAAGTTACCCCCTATACTCTCCAGATCCCAGGAACTACATTTCCCAGAAGTCTTAGTTACAATCAATGAGAGTGAGAGAGCCCATAGTGTGCTTCGTCATTGGCCAGTACTGGGAGTCCAGTTTTCTTTATTGAAAACAGAAAGGAATTTCATTTTTATTGTGAAGAAGATAAACACAAATGAAAAAGATAACCAAAAATTTTAAAGATATTTCTCATTAACATTTTGCTTTATACATTTTCAGACTTTTAGAGTCACAAAACAAATAACTTTAAAAATAATAACAACTTTATTGACATATACAGTTTATTCTTGTCATTTGTAGTAGTTGTGTTATGAAAAGTTGTTAGAAATACTGAATCAGCAAATACTGAATTTTGGCTCCGAGGGGAGAAACTGGGGCAGGTTCCTGCAAGCCCCTGGTTACACTATTTTTGTCAACTAATCAATATATAATCTTATTTTTTATATATTTCTCTTTAAAACACCTTCTTAAATATATATGGTTGATCAGTTAACATGAAATCATAGCCAACAACACTGTGACTCATGCTGGAATGAAGCTTATCTAACATACATATTTTTTCCATAAGGCACACCACTGCCTTTTTGTGCTTAGGAATCATAGATAGTACTTCAGCTATGCATGGGGACCATTTTTAACAGTGAAATCACCAACATAGAAAAAAAAATGCAGAAAAACTTGGCAATAAATAGACTGCAAAAAGGACACTTGTTTAAAGTATGAGAGCTGAAACAAAAAGGCAGAGCATCACTTGTTCAGCCTCAGTTGGCAGCATGCATATTGGGTGACACAAATTTTTCACAGCTCAGTGCATGTCTGCAAAGGACTGCAAAAACATCTTGAGTATTGGAATTATACATAAATTTCAGTGAATAGGAAAATTTGTAAATATGTAATATGCAAATAATGAATGTAATTCACATACATACAATTAACCTATTTAAAATATACAGTGTTTTGAATATTTACAGGGTTGTATAAAAATCACAGGTTGTGTTTGTGGAATTAACCACAATCAATCTGAGAACACTTCATCACCTCCAAAAGTCTGTACCACTTTCTTTTCCCCTTAGCCCCACCTCCAATCCTAGTCAACCACTAAGCTATTTTCTATCTTTACAGATTTGCCTATTCTGGATATTCTGTATAAAGGGGATCGTGAAATAAGTGGCTTTTTGTGACTGGCTTCTTTTACTTAGCATAAATTTTCAAAATCTATTGATGCTGTAGCATATAGCAGCACTTTGTTCCTATCATTGCTGAAAAATATTTCATTTTGTGCATATAGCACATTCATCAATTGATGGAAGTTTGGCTTATTTCTTCTTGGCAATTATGAATAGTACTGCTGTGAACATTTGTGTACAAATCTTTTTGGGGGCATATTTTTCACTTCTCTTGGGCGTATACCTCATAGTGGAATTGCTGGAACGTATGATAACTCTGTGCTTAACCTTTTGAGGACCTGTCAAACTGATTTCCAAAGTGACTGCATCATTTTTCATTCCCACCAGCAGTATATGAGGGCTCAAATTTTTCCATATCATCACCAACACTTGTTATTTGTATTTTTAATTATTACCATCCAAGTGATGTGAAGTAGCATCTCCTGTACTTTTGATTTGTGTTTTTCTGATAGCTAATTATGTTGAATACCTTTTCATGTGCTTACTGACCATTTGTGTATCTTGTTTAGAGAACTGTTGGATGCTTTGCCCATTTTGTAATTGAGTTATTTGTGTTAAGATTATTGAGTATGAGAGTTCATAATATGTTCCACATAGAAAGTTCCTTATCAGATACATATGATTTGCAAATGTTCTCCTGTTCTGTGTGTTGTCATTCACATTCTTGATGGTTTTCTCTGAAGCACAAAAGTTTTTAATTTTGATAAAGTCCAATTTGTCTACTTTTTCTTTCATGGTTTGTGCTTTTACTGTCATATCTAAGAACCTAAATTTGTTGATCGATTCGGGGAATGCTGCCATCTTAACAGTATTAGGTATTCCAGTCCATAAACATGGGATGTCTTTCCATTATATATTCATCTTTCATTTTTTAAAACAATGTTTTGTATATTTCAGAGTATAAAATTTACACTTCCTCTGTTAAATTTCTAAGTGTTTTATTCTTTTTGAAGATACTGCAAATGTAAATTTTTTCTTAATTTTGTTTCTAGATTGTTCATCACAAGTATAGAAATACAGGCCAGGTGCAGTGGCTCATGCCTGTAATCCCTGCACTTTGGGAGGCTGAGGCAGACTGATCACCTGAGGTCAGGAGTTCGAGACCAGCCTGGCCAACATGGTGGAACCCTGTCTCTACTAAAAATACAAAAAATTATCTGGGCATGGTGGCAGGTGCCTGTAATCCCAGCTACTCGGGAGGCTGAGGCAGGAGAATTGCTTGAACTTGGGAGATGGAGGTTTCAGTGAGCTGAGATCTTGCCATTGCACTCCAGCCTGCACAAGAAGAGCGAAATGCCATCTAAAAAAAAAAAAAAAAGTATAGAAATACAATTGACTTTTGTATATTGATTATGTATCCTGCAACCTTGAAAGATAAATGACTTTTAAACTAAAGAGATGAAACAATTTTAAGCTTTTATTTCTAAAAGTTGGAGATCGTTATTTAACGCATATAATGTTCAAGTAGATATACCAAGTTATTTTATAATCCTTTCCCAGTAAATATGGGTGGAAATTAGCCTGTTTCCTCTATACCATGCCATAATATTGATTAATATTTTCTCTGGACTCGTGCCCACTAAAAGGGTTGTATGAATTCAAGGTGATTATATATAGAATTGAAATATTAAGGAATCTGACTATATATCGTAGATTCTAATCCAAGCACACTTATGACAGTGATTTCAAGTGAACACTTTAAAAGAACTTTCATTTTGAACATTTTTAAATTTTTTGTTTATTCATGTTTTTGACCTGAACCCTTTTCTTTGATTTATTATTTTATGTTTGGTTAATTCCTTCTGAAAGAGCTTCCTTTCATTTTTTGATTTTTTTCTTTAAATTTGCTTTTTTTGTTGTTTCTTTATCTGATTGAGCTCAAGTTTGTTTGCAGAAGAATAGATAAAAATATCAAAATGGTTCATGGGTAGCTTTGGTAATTTTGTCACTTTGTGTGACTGGACCTTCCAACAGGCTTATGATGGGTATCAATCAGGATTGAGCTCTGAATTTCAATCACCACTGGCATTTCAGTCTGGCATAGATAAAGAAGAAGATAAGAAAGAGGTATGTAATGATATTGCTTTTGGATGCCAATATTTCTACTATGATAGTATTAATATATATGAGAAATTGGAAGCAGCTTGTTGTGTCCTAACACATAAAAGGCTAATACCACAAATTTCATAAATAAAAGAAGAAAAGTTGCTTGACTCATTATAATGTGTTGAATTTCTTTTCCAAGATCCTAGGAGTTAGGGTACATTGTTGTGAAATCAATTATTTGATACTAATAAATTTCTCCAGCTAGTGTATATTTGCCACTGTAACTTATTTAAAGGAAGATAATTACTTTATGGCTTTCTTTGTTTTTTTTTTTTTCTTTTTTCTTTTCAGTCTAAAGTTTATTTAAACCAATAGATCTTAACCCTGGCCATGCACCAGAATCAGATGGGGAGCTTTGTTCAAAATACAAATACACCTAGATCTAATCAAGACATACCAAATCAGTATCTGAAAACAGAGGTTTAGGGCATTTGTGTTTTTTAAAAATACCACTGGTGATTTTGATGCAGCCTCACTATTGAGGTACTATTTAGACCTTTGATAATTTTTACCAAAAAGCCCTGTACTACTCTGGGTATATACATAGGCATGCGTTTGCTCATTGAATGGCTTGTGTATTTAAAAGAATATATATAAATCCAGAAGTATGAACACATCACAGAGTCTAGTAGCATGTGATTTTTTTTGAGACGGAGTCCAGTCGTGCAATCGAGGCTCACTAAAACCTCGACCTCCTGGATTCAAGCGACTCTACTGCCTCAGCCTCCTGAGTAGCTGGGACTACAGGCATGCACCACCACGCCCAGCTGATTTTTGTAGTTTTTGTTTTTTTAGTAGAGGTGGGGTTTCACCATATTGGCCAGGATGGTCTCGATTTCCTGCCCTCATGATCTGTCTGCCTTGGCCTCCCAAAGTGCTGGAATTATAGGCCTGAGCCACTGTGCCTGGCCACACTTGCTTTTATTGTACTTGTTTTGTTTATGAGTCTGAGGTTTTAGTATACCTCAGCCCTTCTACCCTCCTTCATGCCGTATTAGGCTAGGCTTCGAGTATGCTTTTGTGATGCTTTTCTTGTTGTTTTAATGAGACGGAGTTTCACTCTTCTTGACCAAGATGGAGTGCAATGGTGCAATCTCAGCTGACTGCAACCTCTGTCTCCCGGGTTCAAATGATTCTCCTGCCTCAGCCTCCCAAGTAGCTGGGAATACAGGCGTACACCACGACACCTGGCTAATTTTTTTGTATTTTTAGTAGAAATGGGGTTTCACCATGTTGGCCAGGCTGGTCTCAAACTCCTGACCTCAGGTGATCTGCACACCTTGGCTTCCCAAAGTGCTGGGATTACAGGTATGAGCCACCGTGCCTGGGCTGTGATACTGTTTTAATTTTGAAAAGTTAAAGTAACTGTTGGTTCTGTTATAAAATACCTTCTACATTCTTACCGTGGCTCTGCTTTTATGGTACTTACTACTTGGGAACACAGAGTAAAGACAGTATGTATCTTATCATATCAAATATCACTTCCTGAAGTCCTACTGACAAGGGGCTATACTAAAGGCAAACTAAATTAGTACTTCTTTCTTTGGTTTGCCTATTAACATGTAAATAGCTATGTGCTTGAAAATATAAAATTCTTGTGTATGTGACATCCTGAGTTACCATAGACAGAAGGAAATTACAAGTAATTTCTATATCATCTATTTTTGTTTGCTTGTTTTTTGTTTTTGTCTACGACATAAAAATATTTTTCGTCCTTGAAAATTCCTCTGAAAGCAGAATCTTAGTAATTTTAACTTCTTTCCTTTAGCGTCAAAAGCAGTACCTGAGACATAGACGACTTTTCATGGATATTGAGAGAGAACAAGTAAAAGAACAACAAAGGCAAAAAGAACAAAAGAAGAAAATTGAAAAGTAAGTTATTTGATCCGCACTGTGGGCCTTAAATTGCCAATTAGGATATTTTTGGAAGACAAACTTTAGAAAAAGGTAACAGTTTTGCCTTCTGATCCATGTTGAAAACAGCTGTTTTTTTTATCTAGATAAAGTATTGGAAGATGGTGAACAGCTATGGTTTGGTTTTTTGGTTCGATTTTCTAATAGACTTGATTTTATAGGGCAATTTTAGGCTCACAGCAAAACTAAGCAGAAAGTACAGAGAGTATACTTTGTGCCCCACAAATGCATAGCCCCTTCTCCTACCATCACTATCCTGCACCATACTCGTACAATTCGTTAGAACTGATGAACCAACATTGACACATTATTATTACCCAAAGTCCATAGTTTACATTAGGGTTCACCTTTGGTGTTAGGCATTCTATAGGTTTTGACAAATACTTAATGTCATATGTCTACCATTATGGTATTATACAGAGTAGTTTGACTGCCCTAAAATCCTTTCTGCTCTGCCTATTCCTCCCTCTTTAAACCCTATCTTGTGGGAACCACTGAACTCTCTACTGTCTCCATGGTTTTGCCTTTTCCAGAATGCTATATACTTGGAATCATACAGTATGCATGTAACCTTTTCAGATTGGCTTTCTGTACTTAGAAAAAAATGCATCTACATTTCCTTCAGTGCTTTTTAATGGCTTGATAGCTCATTTATTTTTAGCAGTGAATAATATCCCATTATCTAGATGTATCAGTTTAGTTATTCATTCACCTACTGAAGGACATATTGTTTGCTGCCAGTATTTGGCAATTATGAATAAAGCTACTTTAAAACTGATGTACAAGTTTTTGTGGAGGCATACATTTTTAGCTCATTTGAGTAAATAACAGGGACTACAATTGCTGGATCATATGGTAAAAATACATTTAGCTTTATAAGACACTACCAAACTTTCTTCCAAAGTGGCTATACCATTTTGCCTTCCCACCAGCAAGGAATGAGAGTTCCTGTTGGTCCACATCCTTGCTGCCATTTGGTGTTGTCAGGATTTTGGATTTTGGACATTCTGGTAGATGTGTAGTAGAATATCATTGTTTAAATTTTCACTTCCCCAATGACATATAATATGGAGCGCCTTTTCATATGCTTATTTGTTATCTGTATACCTTCTTTGGTGATGTGTCTGTTCATGTATTTTGCCCATTTTTTTGAGTCATTTGTTTTTGTTATTGTTGAATTTTAAGAGTTTTTTATATATTTTGAATAACAGTTCTTTATCAGTCTTTCATAAACATTGTTTCCCCAGTCTATAGCATGTCTTCTCATCTGTTGACAGTATCTTTTGCAGAGCAAAACAAAGTTCACCTTATCAGTCCTTTCTTTCATGGATTGTGCCTTTGGTGTTACATATTTTAAAAAGTCACTGCCATACCGAAAGTTACTTAGATTTTTCTCCCGTGTTATCTTCTAGGAGTTTTGTAGTTTTGCGTTTTACATTTTTCTCTATGATCCATTTTGTTAATTTTTGTGAGAGGTTGTAAGGTCTGTGTTTAGAGTCATTCTTTTTGCATGTGAATGTCCAGTTGTTCCAGCACCATTTGTTGAAAAGACCATCTTTTATTAATCGTATTGCCTTTGCTCTTTTGTTAAAAATCAGTTGACTGCATTTGTGTCGTTCTGTGTTTTGGACTCTATTCTGTTCCATTTATCTATTTGTCTGTTCTTTTGCCATACCACACTGTCTTGATTACTGTAGCTTTACTTATGTATCTTTATTGATACATAATAATTGTACATATTTGTAGGATACATGTAATATTTTGATGCCATGCAATGTTTATGATCAAATGTATGATGTATAATGATCAAATCAGAGTAATTAGGATATCTGTCATCTCAAACATTTATGATTTCTTTGGGGAACATTTCAAATCTTCTAGCTATATATATACACAATAAATTATTGTTAACTAGAGTCACCCTACTGTGCTACCAATAAGTAGAATTTATTCTGCCTATCGAACTTTATATCCTCCATTCCCACCCTCTGGTAATTATCACTGTACTTTCTACCTCTATGGGATCACCTTTTTTAGTTCCCGCATGTCAGTAGGAACATGTGATGTTTGTCTTTCTGTACCTGGCTTATTTAACATGACTTCCAGTTCCATCTGTGTTGCAGCAAATTAAAAGATTTAATTCTTTTTTATGGCCAAATAGTATTCCATTGTGTATATATACCACATTTTCTTGGTGTGCATCTGTTGATGGATACTTAGGTTGATGCAGTATCTTGACAATTTTGAATGGTGCTGCAGTAAACATGGGGGTACAGGTATCCCTTTGATACACTGACTTCTTTTCCTTTGAATAAATACCCAATAGTGGAGTTGCTGGATCATCTGAAGTTCTGTTTTTCTTTTTTCTTTTTTTTTTAGAAATCTCCAGACTGTTTTCCATTATTTCTATATTAATTTACATTCCTACCAATAGTGTATGAGTCCTCTTTTCTCTATGTCCTCACTAATTTACATTCCCACCAATAGTGTATGAGTTCCCTTTTCTTTACATCCTCAGCTTTTATTACTTTTTGTTGTCTTGATAATTGCCATTCTAACTGGGGTGAGATGCTATCTCATTGTAGGTAAGGAGGGTTGATCCCTAGGCACCTGGATGACAAGCATGAGTGCCTGTAGTGGCAGCAGTGGGTAAGGCAGGCCTGTCCTCAGGCCCTTTGGTTCTATACATGGGTGCTGGTGACAGTGGGTGTGGTATGTATGTAGCTTTATAATAAGTCTCAAAGTCAGGAAATTTCAGTCTTGCAGTTTTGTTCTTCTTTAATGTTGTGTTGGCTTTGCCTCTCTACATAAATTTTAGCATAAGTTGTCAATATCCACAAAATAACATGAGATTTTTATTGAGATTGCAGTTAATGTATATATCAGGTTGGGAAGAGCTTGACATCTTGACAATATTGAGTCTTTCTGTCCATGACCATAGGTTCTCTCTCCATTTTATTTAGTTGTCTTTTGATTTCTTCCATCAATGTTTTGTTGTTTTTGCTCATATAGATCTTATATATATTTTGTTAGACTTAAAAGCGTTTCATTTTGGAACTACATATAAATGGTGGTGTGCTTTTAATTTTAAACTCCACCTGTTCATTGCTGGTATATAGGAAAATGATTGACTTTTGTACATTAAACTTGTATCCTTCAGCCCTGCTGTAATCACTTATTAGTTCCAGTAGCTTGTTCGGTGATTCTTTTGTTATATGATCATGTCACCTGTTAACAAAGATAGTTTTATTTCTTCTTTCCCAATATGTATGCCTTTTATTTCTTTTCCTTGGCTTATTTCATTAGCTAGGACTTTCAGTATGATGTTAAAAAGGAGTAGTGAGAGGGTACCTCTCACTTTGCCTTGTTTCTGATTCTAGCAGGTAAATTTACAGTTTCTTACCATTAAGTGTGATGTTAGCTGTAAATTTTTTGTTGATGGGCTTTATTAAGTTGAACAAGTTCTCCATCAGTTGCATTTTTTAATCTATGGGTTATTACTGTGCCTCTTAGAGGTCAACCCCAGTTGTTTTGAAAAGCTTCTTTGTACCTACTGATTTCTAAACAATGCATAAAACATTATAATGAAATCTAATATGAGGATTTAATTCATCAGATGTTATTGACATCCTATGGATAAAGCACTAAACAAAGTGCTAATATGTGAAATAGTTTGAAATTTGTGAAGTGCTGTAAAATATAAGGCAATAACACTTTTATTTTGAAATACTGTATGTAATACTATAACGAAATTGCTACAGGTTACTGTAAAGTGCTGGAAATGTGTTCAAATAGCATAATGAATAGTCGGAGTTTTTTTGTTTTGTTTCTTATAATTTCAGCTTCTATTTTAGATTCAGGGGTACACATGCAGGTTTGTTACATGGATTTATTGTGTGATGCTAAAGTTTGTGATGCAAATGATTCTGTCACTCAATAAGTATAGTACCCAATAGGTAGTTTTTCAGCCCTTGCCCCACCTTCTCCCCCACTCCATAGTAGTCGTTAGTGTTTATTGTTTTCATTTTTGTGTCTATGTGTACCCAAAGTTTAGCTCCCACTTATAAGTGAGAACATGGAGTATTTGGTTTTCTGTTTCTGTGTTAATTCACTTAGGATAATGGCCTTCAGCTACATACGTGTTGCTGTAAAGGACATGATTTCATTCTTTTATGTGGTTGCATAGTATTTCATGGTGTATAATACCACATTTTCTTTATCTACCTCAACATTGATGGACACTTAGGTTGATTCTGTGTCTTTGGTGTTGTGAATGGTGCTGCAAGGAACATATGAATGCTTGTGTCTTTTTGGTAGAAGGATTCATTGTACCCAGTAATGGGATTGCTGGGTCAAATGGTAGTTCTGTTTCAAATTCTTTTAGAAATCTCCAAACTGCTTCTTTCCACAGTGGCTGAACTAATTTACATTTTCACCAACAATGAATAAGCGTTCCCTTTTCTCTACAGCCTTGCAATTATCTGTTTTTTTTTTTTTTTATTTTTAGTAATAACTGTTTTGACTGGTGTGAGATGGTATCTCATTGTGGTTTTGATTTGCATTTCTCTGATGATTAGTGATGTGGAACATTTTTTCATGTTTACCACTTGTATGTCTTCTTTTGAGTACTTCTTCATGCTCTTTTGCCTACTTTGCTTGTCTTTTTGCTTTTTTTTTTTTTTTTTTTTTGGAGATAGTCTTGCTCTGTCACTTAGGATGGAGTACAGTGGCACATTCTCAGCTCACTGAAACCTCTGCCTCCTGGATTCAAGTGATTCTTGTGCCTGTCTTCTGAGTAGCTGGGACTACAGGCATGTGTCACTATGCCTGGCTAATTTTTGTATTTTTAGTAGAGACAGGGTTTCACCTTGTTGGCCAGGCTGGTCTCAAAACTCCTGACCTCAGGTGATTCGCTTGCCTTGGCCTTCTAAATAATGGGAATTACAGGCGTGAGCCAC